GCTGTAGCCAGAGGCGGAAGGCGCTAAAGGTTCAAACACCTCCGAAAAACCTGGTTTACTCATGAATTTTTTTTTAACCTGACACATTTCGGGGATTTTTTGAACCTTCMCCCCCCCCCCCCCCCCGGGCTATGGCCCTACTTCCTCACATCATCTGTGTATATATCCATTGTATCTTTATCAAGCACAATGATTAAAGGCAAGGTAGTTAGCATCTGTTATTCAGATCTGCATTTCAAGATTGCCTACCAGAGCTCATTCTTCTGAAAACAAGAAGCAGAAGTCTTAGATGGCCAAGAATAGCATAAGAGTAGGTCATGTAGATCTCTATTATGGCTCCCCTGTCACCACATCCAGGACTCACTGTTGTGCCACATCAGTCCCCCAATAACAATTCTATTGCTAGTGGAGAGTGTGGAGTCAGAGGAATGCCTGGTTGAGTTATTATAGCCAAATTGAAAAATTGAAGACATTTCTCCTCTTCACTAGGAATGGAATCACATTTGTCAGAAGCTGTCACAGTGGCAGTGACACAGTGCATTGATAGAAAGAAGTGTTGGACATTATAGAGGAAATGATCAAAATTGCATAGTGTTAAGGTGAACTTATATTTGTTGTATATATATCTTATATATATAAGCTTAGAGAAGATAATGATGCTGGGGGAAATGGAAGGAAAAAGGAAGAGGAGCCAACCAAGGGCAAGATGGATGGATGGTATCTTTGAAGTGACTGGCTTGACTCTGAAGGAGCTTGGGTTGGTGACGGCTGACAGGGAGGTCTGGCGTGGGCTGGTCCATGAGGTTATGATGAGTTGAAAGTGACTGAACAAATAAACAACAAAAATATAATTAACATGGGGGAAACAAGGTGCACCCTTTTGGCAGCTTGCGGCCCTCTGGGGTGAAAATTACTTTCTTCCAAAATGCCCCAAAATGATATCTAAGCTGCGTAAGAGGCTTTTCTACAGGGTACCAAGGGCATTTGGTTCTCTCTGCCCCCCCCCCTAATTTCCTAGAATGCCTTATGGTGCTCAGGAAAACTCAAAATAATGCCCCTTGTTCCCTAGAAGCATTTGTGGGCAACATTGATTTTTTTGTATGAGCAGTTGCAGTAAAGTCATAATCCTTCACATTACCCTGGAGGGCTAGTGCAGCCCCCTAGTCTCCCATAATTGCCCATCCCTGCTGTTACAGGGTGCTGGCCTATATTTGGTTATTGCTTGAGTACTAAGATCAGCAGTCACCAAATGTCATGTCACCAAATATCTGCTAGCATGGTTTCTGTGCCATAACATGTACATTTTCTCCAACAACCATTTAAGTATATAATTTAAAATGAACTTAAACGCTGTCAAGCTATCTTAGTGACCTGAAGCCTAATGAGAAGAAGCAATAAAAACTGTTCGGGAAGGCAGTGGGTGGTAGGGAGCAGATAATTAAAATCACAGGGAGCCTAAGATGTGAAGAAAGCATTGTAATGAGAGTTGCTCTGTGCCCTAGAACATTTTCATGCAGCATTGGGAGATGAAATGTGCTGGGTTAGCTTTCAATAACTAAAAGAGTAAAAAGTTTAATCAACAATGAGGATAAGTAGGGCTACCACTTTTAGCACTGAAGCCAAATAGCATGGCAGAAGGTATAAATGATATCTCTGCTTCAGCCATAACTACAACAGGTAGGCCTGGAATTTAATCACAGTTCATGGAATGGTAGGACAGAGGACTGGAGTGAAGTGGAAATACGATAGGGGGAAATGAGTTGGACATTTAGGGAGTTTTTGAGGGAGCTAGCTAGCTAAGAGGAGGTTCGTAATATATCAATATATAGCTGCCATCAAGTTGACTTGATGGCAATTAACAACATCAGTATAATTGATTTTTGATTCTCATCCACATTCTGCTTTATTATAGTATTTTTTATGGGCTGTCTTGTTATGTCATTCAAGAAATAAATGTTTTTTAAATTTTAAATTTTAAATTTGTTTATTTTCCTTGCTGAGTAGGAGGGGGTTTGAATACTGCTTTTCATGCCTTTTCAGTCGTTTCTTGTTTTTTTACCACTTTTCATATTTATGTATTTTTGTCTCTCACTGAGTTTTTTTGTATTACTTTAACGGCTAGCTATTCATTGTGTTGTGTATAAATGCTTTTACCTTCTAAGATTTATTTTTAAATAAGCAATTTTTCTTTCACTAGCAAATCCATATCCTCTCAAAATTGCTAGTTATTTTTGTTTCCATTGTTTGCATTGCTGTCAACAGTTTTTATCCTGTAACGGGTTATCTGCAGTTGCCCTCCACTTCTAAGCTTTCTTTTCTCCTTATTTAACATCTTACCATTTTATTCAGACTGTTACCTACCATTCTACTTTATCCTTTTATCTCTTGAGCTGTTTTGTTCTTCTTTCACTTTATTTTTCTTCAAGTTATAGTTTGCACTTATTTTTGTATAATGTTGTAGCCAGTTGTATTTTTCATGCTATACTGACATTTTTCATGTGCCCTGATTTCAGGGGGTTCTCCCCTTCAATGTTGCATTTTCCTTTCAGATAAATCTACATTGGATGGGAAGAGTTGGCTGCAGTTTTTTCAATTTATATGCCTGTCAAATCATGTTCTCAGTGTTATCGACTTGCCCTAATTTTGGCCTGAATGTCGCTGCCATCATTTTTCTTTCTGAGCATCTCCTCGTATGTCCTTTCTCTATTCTCACACTGTCAATTTAATTTATCAATGTGCATTTTCAAACATGCACATTTTTGACCAAATATCTTCTAATGTCTGTCCTGAGGTGACCACCAATTAATTGGCTGTGTTGTGTTATGAAGTATCTAGATCTAGGATGAGACTACATTGTACAATTAATACAGTTTTACACTTCTTTATTTGCCATAGCTCAATACTGTGGAGTCATTGCATAAAACAATCCCTCTGAAATGCCAGCAATACAGCTTAATAGTGTAATGCTAGAAAATGTTGACCACTTCCACTATCTTGGCAGCCACCTTTCCAAAAAGTCAACATCTACACTGAAATACAACACCGCCTGAGCATTGTGAGTGCAGCATTTTTTCAAATGAAATTGAGAGTGTTTAAAGAGTGGGACATTTGTAGAGATATCAAGATTCCTGTTTGCAAAGCTATTGTCCTTCCAACTCTACTGTACACCTGCATAGCATGGTCCATCTACAAACACCACTCTTGACTTCTGGAATGATTCCATCAGTGTTGCCTTTGAAAAATTCAGGCAAATCTCTTGGGAAGACTGGCAGACAAACCACCAGCATTAAAGTGATGATTCTCCACCATCAACTTGGCTGGACTGGTCACATTGTGTGAATGCCACCCAATCAGTGTTTCCCAAAGCAGTTTCTTTATTCTCAGCTCAAGAATGAGAATTAAAGTGTTGGTAGATAGCAACAGGGGTTGAAAGATGGGCTCAAAGCTAACATTAAAAATGTGGAATAAACATAGAGAACTGGGAAACCATGGCACTGGAGCATTCTAACTGGAGGTCAGCTGTTGCCAATGGTGCTATGGATATTGATTGAGGAGGCACAATCAGAGGGTGAAAGAGAGAAATGTGCTAAGAGGAAGGCACATCAAGAAAATCCTTGTCATGACCACCTTCCATCTAGAAACCTATGTCCACATTGTGAAAGACCATGCATATCCAGAATAGATTTCCACAGCCAAATACAGACCCATTGCCAGGACTCTAGCTCTGGAAGACAATCATACTCTCCATAAGGGATCACATACAAGGATGATGAGTTTTGCAAGGTCTATTGCATTTTCTACCAAAGAGTGTTGGCTTACAACTACAAATCCCAGGGTGGTATCCAATGGCATTCATTCTACAGTGTAGGTGCACCCTCTTCATATCTTTGTCTCACTGCATGTCTTGACTTCATCCAGCCTCTACACTTTCAGGTAAGTTACCTGCGATATGGGACCCCCCTGGTGGTGCAGCGGGTTAAACCACTGAGCTGCTTAAATTGCTGACCAAAAGTTTGGCAGTTTGGATTTGAGGAGAAGGGTGAGCTCCCACTGTTAGCCCCAGCTTCTGCCAACCTAGCAGTTCAAAAACATGCAAATGTGAGTAATTCAATAGGTACCGCTTCTGCGGGAAGTTAACAGCACTCCATGCAGTCATGCTGGCCACATGATCTTGGAGGTGTCTATGGACAATGATTGCTCTTCATCTTAGAAATGGAGATGAGCACCACTCACCAGAGTTGGACACAACTAAACTTAATGTCAGGGGGAAACTTTATCTTTACCTGCCTGAGACATGCTAAACTTTATAATGTCACTTTCTGGACTACATCCATTACCTTTGATTATTTCCTAAATATTGGCTAGATTTCAGACACCTGGCATGGAGATTGGTTTGAATCACATTTGTTCATACCAATAACTTTGATTTATGGTAATTTCTATGTAAGCCTTTCACCTAAACTTCACTGAATTTAGATGGGAAAGTCAAATGACAACCAACTCTGTGGAGGAAGACATGACCGAAGTAGTTTTGGAAGCTAGTCTTTGGTATTTGCAAATCTTCCAGACATGTTATATTCACATTCAGTGACATTGAATAAAACATTAAAGGAACTTCATGTGCATGTCAGTTACACAGAGCTTTAAATCAATATTATAATACTTGTGGAGATAAAATGTTATGTATGTCCTTCACATGCTTGGGGAACAATTGTTTGTTCATATGATCTGTATTTCATAAATCTGTGTTGTTTTAAAAAACCTCTTTAACGTTTTGCCTGTATTGGAAATAAATACAGGCAAAGGAAAAAAAAAACAGCAACAAAGAAACATACAAACATTTTCTTAAGACCATGGGTGTAAATCATGCTAAAGTGATAGATAGTAATTTGTGAAATTAAAATTGTTCCTTTTAAAAAATACTGATACCTGTGGACTTAACACTTAATTATATAATCTATAGAGGCAGATACATACAATTACCCATTGATACGAAGTACCTGTAAATGATACATGCAGTGTTCTGACAAGTGCTGCAATTGTTGAGATCTTGGCCAGTGCGGTAGGAGTTCCGCCTGCAATAAACAATAGCAGCTATGATTTAGTCATAAAACCAGTAATTCTACTGCTAACTCCTTGATGACAACATTTAATCTCTTAAGGTAACATTCTTTAAATGTTAAGGTATATTGCAAGGAATGTTGTTTTAACCTTACAGTGCAATTCTAAATAAATGAATAGGTAATAGTCACTTTAAGATAGTTGAAATTATCAATATTTCCAAATAATCCTTCATAACATCGCACTCTTAAACATTAAATATGCCGAATGAGCTCATCCAGTCACTTTCCATGACATGGAAACAGTGCTTAGTTGTTGTCTTGGTGAAAGAAATGTAGTTGTGACCCAATGATATATATACCGATATAATCATGTTGAATTTTTATTGCATTTTTTAAAAAAAATACACTTATAACACCTCCTATTATTTAGGAAATCACTGTTTGCTATTTCACAAACTGCATTTTAGGTGGGAACCTGAGATATTTAGATTATGATTGTGTACACAAAAAAGTGCATCACATAGATACATTCATCAGTTGATTTAGATTGGCTGCTAGTCATTGAAATGAACACTTTTAATGGCACACTTGAGTTTGTCTCAAATAGTCAAGCATTTCACCCATTTCATTTTAACATGGAAGGATAAATAATTTCTAAATATATTCTGCACTGGGTGGGTTTATAAGTTTCTGAGCATTTGCACAGAATTTATTTGCAAAAAGTATTTTAGCTTTGTCAAAAAACCCTTTTGCTTATTGTATGTAAATACAAAACGGCGTATTCTCCAAATGGTGCACTGTTTTCTGCATAAATATCTTTTTCACAAAGTGATTCCAAAATATAAGCAATTTCATGGGTTCACAATTTTATTGACAGGGTGTCTCAATGTCATCCTCTCTCAGTGAGAAAAAGGAAATGTAATGAATGTTGTTTTCATTCCTACTGCATGACTGAATTCATGCTTACACATTTGTGATAATGGGAGTATGTGTTATGTTAAACAAAGCAATGGTATTTTAGATGTAAAGTGAATTCAGGGCCAGATTTTAGATGATCCCTGTAGTTAAGGTCTCATCTACACTACCATATAATATAATTTGAAACTGCATTATATGATCTGTGTTTAACTGCAATGAACTGCATTATATGAGCCTGCACTGGACTGTATAATGCAGTTTCAAATTTCAGAAGCCTAATCCAACTAGAATAGACATCCTGAATCAGAAATTAGTAAGACAATACATACCATATACACTTGTGTATAAGCTGATTCCATAGAATCATAGAATAATAGAGTTGGAAAATACCACATGGGCCATCTAGTCCAACCCCCTGTCATGCAGAAAAAGCACTATCAAGTACCCCTGGCATTTGGCCATCAAGGCTCTGTTTAAAAGCCTCAAAGGAAGGAGCTTCCACCACACTCTGAGGCAGGGAGTCCCACTACTGAATAGCTCTAACAGTAAGGAAGTTCTTCCTAATGTTCAGGTAGAATCTCCTTTCCTGTAATTTGAACCCATTGCTCCAAGTCTTAGTTTCCAAGGTAACAGAAAACAAGCCTGCTCCCTCTTCCTTAGGATATCCTTTCACATATTTATACATGATTATCATGTCTCTTCCCAACCTTTTCTTCTGCAGGTTAAAATTACCCAGTTCTTGAATATGCTTCTCATAGGACATGGTCTCCAGATCTTTTATCATTTTAGTTGCTACCTTCCAGTTTGTCAATATCTCTTTTAAACTGTAGAGCCCAGAATTGGACACAGTATTCAAGTATTCTCATCTATAAATTGTGGTCTGGTTTTAAGACCAAAAATTATGGACTTTGATATGAGTCATTGATAGGTCAGGGTCATTCTGTGGATAGGGAGAGCACCAGTGCTACTTCAAAGGGGCAGTCACATCTAATTTTCACCATCACTGTTGTTTTCCTGCCTAGACATTCAAAAAGGCTTTTAACCACAACGTGCTTGGAAGTATCCATTTCTTCAGTAGCTATTTGCATCAGAAATATTCATGGGTGGATTCTACACTCATCCATCAGAAATGATTGATAGAATACTGCACAAAGTCCTTTTTTAAAAAAAAAAAGCCTGTGTGTAACATTTTCCATGGGATTTGCATTTCCAAGGGTAGAAATCACCCATTAACCACTAACGTTTTGCACTGAAGGGTCTGCTGCCCAAACTCAATACCTGAGAGCTCTCTGGGGATCTAATCTGACTACTTTTTTAGTGTGATACTTGTGTGACCATTAAAGTTCTCAAAATAGCAGATGTGACAAATTTAATGCCACAGTGATCACATGGTTCCAGGAGGCTGGCTAGAAACCTGAAGCTGATCAATCAGGATTTATATTTCAGAGACATAAATAGGAAGGTACAATTGCAAATATGTCTTGGATATTTCCCATATATATTTTTTGTCCTTCCAGAGATTTTACATGCACACACTCACATAAGGAGGAGTAGGTTCTTTCTGCTTCATTAAACAAACACACCAAGAATACTTGAGGGACTCCGTGTTAATTCTTAAATAGCTAGGATTAGTATATAATCCATGGTAACAAATTAGCATTGGAGGGACCAATGTGGAGATATTTTAGTTTTCTGTTTTGTGTCCTCTCTCCCCTGATTACTGGAACAAATCTATCTCTGTTAATGTGGATTTTAAAATATTTTGTTTGACATTACTTTGCACAGAGCTGGATTTACTTAAGGGACATTTAAAACTGCTGACACCGTGAGTGCATCACTGTTGATAGGGAAATGTAAATAATTTTTTAGAGCCACTTAGGAATTTCATTGGCTCGTGAAATGAAAGCATACAACAACAACAACTCTGGCACACTCATAAGCATTCCAGACCATATAATGGCTCTTGATCACAATATTCAACCAAAAGTGGTTGAAGTTCCCTGTACGGACAAAGGTATGGGATGCTTTCAGGCATTGTGGTAACGCTTGATGGTGGGACTCAAGACTGTGTCATATTTCAGTCTTTCCAGCTTGTTCGTCCTTTTGATGTGGATGGGGTCCTGAGGGCTGTGAGAGTGACCACATCGGCTCTGCACCCTTGTCCTTCCTGGCTAATCAAAGAGGGCACAGGTGGGTTATTAGATTGGTTTATACTGATCATTAATGCATCATTGGCTCAGGGGAAATTTCCATCTGGTCTGAAGCAGACAGTGGTGAGACCAATCCTGAAGAAGACTTCCCTTGACCCCACGGTTTTTAATAACTACAGGCCAATCTCTAATCTTCCCTTTTTGGGCAAGGTACTGGAGCAAGTTGTTGTCTCACAGCTCTAGGGATTCCTAAATGACACTGATTTTCTAGATCAACCACAGTCTGGGTTTAGGCCTGGTCACGGTACTGAGACGGCTTTAGTTGCCTTGGTGGATGACCTCCGCAGGGAACTGGACAGGGGGAGTGTGACCCCGCTGGTTCTCTTGGATATCTCAGCGGCTTTCGATACCATCGACTATGGTATCCTCCTGGGCCAGCTCTCCGGGATAGGTCTCGGGGGCACGGCTCTGTTGTGGCTCCAGTCCTTCCTGGAAGATTGCTCTCAGTTGGCGAAACTGGGGGACACCTGCTCAGACCCCTGGCCTTTGACCTGTGGGTTCCCGCAAGGTTCCATTCTGTCCCCCATGCTTTTTAATATCTACATGAAACCACTGGGAGAGGTCATCCGGAGTTTTGGAGTTCGGTGCCATCTCTATGCAGATGATGCCCAACTTTACTACTCTTTACCACCTAATTCGAAGGAAGCCCCTTGGGTGCTGGAAGAGTGCCTGACTGCTGTGACAGTCTGGATGAGGACAAATAAGCTGAGGATCAATCCTGACAAGACAGAGGTCCTCCAGGTCAATCGTAGGCCGGATTGACGTATAGGGTGGCAACCTGTGCTTGACAGGGTTGCACTCCCCCTGAAGTCACAGGTCCACAGCTTGGGTGTCCTCCTAGATTCAGCGCTAACGGTTGAAGCTCAGGCATCGGCGATGGCTGGGAGGGCCTTCGCACAATTGAAGCTTGTGCAGCAGCTGTAACCGTACCTCATGAAGTCAGATTTGGCCATGGTGGTCCACGCCTTAGTTACCTCTAGATTGGACTATTGCAATGTGCTCTATGTGGGGCTGCCCTTGAAGACGGCCCAGAAATTTCAACTGGTCCAATGAGTGGCAGCCAGACTACTAACTGGTGCGAGCTAAAGGGAGTGGTCAACCCCCCTGTTTAAGGGGCTCCACTTGCTGCCATTTATTTTCCGGGCCCAATTCAAGGTGCAAGTTTTGACCTACAAAGCCCTAAATGGTTTGGGACCTGCCTACCTGCGCGACCGCATTTCCATCTACGAACCCACCTGACCTCTTCGATCTTCCGAAGAGGCCCTTATCTCACTCCCATCTTCATCACAAGTATGACTTGTGGGCCTTCTCTGTAGTGGCCCCTCGGCTCTGGAATTCGCTCCCAAGAGATATTAGGCAAGCCCCCACCCTGGAAATTTTTAGAAGGAGCCTGAAAATTTGGCTGTTCCAATATGCCTTCAATGACTGAATGTATGATAATCTCTGACCAAACTCTGCATAAAATGTTCTCAGAAGCACTTTATTCTCTGGTTTGTGCAATGAACTCCTACCTTATCCCCCAGATCCCCTTCCTGATATTTTTACATTACCCTATCTCCCAGTGTTTTAAAATTTTAATTCTTGAACTGGCCCTACCCACTGTGATCATTTTTACTGGTTTAATATTTTGATTTTATATTGTTGTGCTGCATTTTTACATTGGTTTTGTATTTTATGTTATTTTGTTTTCTGATTTTCTGTTGTGTTTTTGTGTTATATTGTGTTTTCTGTATTGATGGGTGTGGCCTCATGTAAGCCGCCCCGAGTCCCCTTTGGGGAGATGGTGGCAGGATATAAATAATAATAATAATAATAATTATTATTATTATTATTATTATTATTAAACTGAACAGGCAAATACCTGCATTGGGTAGAGCCAATATGTAAATTGCAATTGCCGGAGTAATCTCTGTGTACTTGATGTAATAGAGTATCAGTACATTGAACTCTTTTGGATTTGGTTCTAGGACCCCATGTAGATACCAAAATCTATGGAGGCTCATGTTCAATTTTATATAATGGCATAGTGAAATGGTGTCCTTTATATAAAAGGACAAAATCAAGATTCATCTTTTGAATTTTTTTTAATTTCAAGAGGTGAATGGTTGAATCAATGGATGCAGAATCCATTAATTAGGAGGACTGGCAGTATACAGAATTTAAAATAATGCTGAGAATACTCTTAATTTTTTTAACACTAAATGGTTTTGGAGCTGTAAGCATTTCCATCTTAGGAACTGCTGCAGTTGCCAAGAATGCAGGAGAAGCATTAAGTTGAATTTGACTGCAGAGAGCAATAATATTTCTAGATTTTTGGGAGGCATGTTGAACTGTGAGGGAAGCAGAGGTTGGGAAAAGTCTGATTGTGTTCACAGATTTCTACTAACACACGCAAATTTAGTATATATGGGGGGAGGGGTTGATGTGTTAATGACAGATGGTTACTTCTCTAGCCATACCTTTTTTGCCAAAAGTAAGTCTCCTAAATATCTTTATACCATTTCTTTTAATGACGGTATGAAACCTATTTATACAGATAAGAACTGAATTGTGATCAATGTAATGATACTTCTTGGCAGATTAAGATAATTATCAACATCTTTGATTTTCAAGTGTTATTTGATATGGATATTTTTATGTATTGTAAATGCAGCTGAAAAATTATTTTACCATATTTCCAATGGGAAAATATTGACTAGTTCAGACAAATTATTGTGCAACAACTATTTCCTAAAATTGATATTAACAAGCAAAATACACAACATGTCTAAAAGTCTACTGTTAAATTTTGTACAGTAATAGTAAAGAGGAAAACACCACCCTACCCTTCATTGAGAGCTCTGGCCCTTTCCATGTCTTGAATTACATTCAAAAGGACTTTAATTTTCTCCTGGTTTGACTGCAAAGATTCCTCCACAGACTGGAGCCTGTCTTGTAGGGCACCCAACTCATGATGTGCCAGGTGCATTTGATTAGTTTCGATAACCTGTTTGTTCTGTGGTTTTGTATCAGTCACTGGAAGATAGGCATTTATGTGAAAGCCTTCCACGCAATTGTCACACTGTGGCACTTTGGTATTGGTAGAAATGTTCTCTGTTACAGTTTGACATGAAGGAACAGGAGATGATTCATTGGTGTTGGTGAATGATGTTGTTTGGTTATCATTAGTCAATGTTTTATGCCCAGAGTCTGTTTCCTGCTGTATTGCCGGCTGATGTTCTCTTACAGAACAGTATGATGGACTGTGATCTAACTGTGGAGATGACAAACTGGTTTCCTTAAAACTGGTGTCATCCTCAGGGGCAAGTAGCTCAGTGTAGCTTTTTTCTTCACATGAACTATGAACCACATTGACATCTTTACAATTTTGACTTACACACGTGAGAGATTTGTCTGAGCCCGTGTAAAGAGAGCAGTTCTCACTGGTTGGTCTCACAGCAGTAGTCATGTGAACAGAGCTGTTAAAATCCATTTGCGTGTCTGGGCCATAAATGGAAAAACTGTCTTGTGCAGAACCCAGATTGGTATACTCAGGAACCTGGGTACAAACAGTTACTTTTTTCAGTATTGCATTTCTGTCTGAACTTAAATGGAGAGGCCCGTTGCTTTGTGCTTTAGGCACCATTCGAAGTAGTGGCTTGGGTGCCATGGTTGCTTTTGGTCCATCGTCCAAACGTTGATTGAGGCTTAAATAAGAAAGGCTAGAAGAGATGATATCCTGTTCAGACACATTGCCATTAACGTGAATTGAATATTCAGGCTCATTTGGCATTTCTGTTAAGGACTTGCTTGTTGTAATCCTTTTCTTTTTAAACATGGGAAAGTGCTTCCTGAGGCTAGGGGAAGTCTGTATGGCAATATTTTGTAATCCTTTCTGAGATGGGGGAAAACCGAGGGAATCATTTACTAGATTGTGGAATTGGGATGTTTGTATTTTACTCAATGCAGATGGGTCTTGAGCAATTCCTGCCTCCAATTCTGATTCTTCTACTGGTGGGTTATCTGTCCCATCATCTTTGAAACGGACTTGCTGAGATTTGCTCCTGCGATGGTGGGGCTGCCTTCTGAAATCCACTGAATCTAGGCTGTTCCGCTTAAGCAGAGCAGGACGCACTTTGATGCCTTGCTGAGCCATTGTGTCGCAATTTAATGTATGCAAATAATGTGTTTCTTTGCGACCCATTTCATTTGGTCATTCAAAAAACATCTGGCTTGATGCCCACCCCAATATAATAGATTCTGATATGTCTGGGTGAAAACCTAACCCTAACTCTCTCTCTCTCTCTCTCTCTCTCTATAGGCTTGGGATTTTTATTACTATTTTACTCTTAATAAAATCTTCTTTTATAGCTTCAGTAGTAAACTTACAATTTAAATATCTGATCCCAGATATTTTGTATCTGCATAGAGTATAAATAACAAGCATAATAACAATTTGGGGCTCTTTCCTCCATAATGCATAGTTTTGCTGGAATAACATATCCTTTTACAGCAAATTGAAATTTTTGCTTTAGGGGTTCTTTTTTTCCTTTTCCCATCTTCTTACGTTTACTGTAGAAGCTGATTTTAAACAGCAGAACAGAAGCCACTGAGTTATATCCAAATGAAAGTAAAGCATCCAACAGGATTAATGGCAAGAAAATAGTTGAAATATCTTCCTTGATTTTGTTCACACAAGTGTGACTTTAAGGATGTCTTACGTCTTGAATGACTAAGATGAGATCCAAAAAATATCTTTGGTCTCTGAAGACCAGCCTTTGTGGAATAGTATATACGTGGGTTTCTGCAAGAAAAAGAAAATAGTTGCTAGTGAACAGTCTAATAAATGTTCTTAACCCATTCTGTCATTTTTCATCTAAGTAATTTTATATACAGTTAGAATATTGTGCGATGGAGTAAGATTATGGAAACAGACTGGAAAATTAAGTCTTATCACTCTGCAGGAGTCCAAAATTTATCAACTGTGAAATTTCATCACTGGCCTAATCCTATGATAATAGTTAATTAAAATGAAACTTTCCCTCCCTTACATATGCATTATTGATTGTACATTTCCATCTAAAATCCTAGTTTAGGGGCACTGAGTACTTCATACTAGGGCTCTAATGCAGCACTTCACAGTCATCTGGGGAAAGAATTTGAATGGCAATGCCATCTAGCACTTAATATAGTGTAATATTTCTCATTAAAATCTGCAGTGCCCATTTCCATAGCAACAGAAGAAAATTGCAGCTGTTTTTAAAAATCAGTTGAAGGGGACTACTTTCAAGTTTTGATGATCTTTCAGACCACATATTCATCTTGCAAACACACACTTTCTTTCTTTTCCTGAGCAGTGGCATTACTACAATGTCAGTTAGACCTCTTCCCTTTCCCCACTACTGCACTGCAATGATGGCTGCTTTCATGTAAAGTTATGAGAAATTTAGTTGTGGGGCTCTAGGATATAGACAAGAAAGATCCATTCTGTTCCTCTTTATTTTCCCATTAAGCAAAATAATGGTATGACCTTTGAATCCATGGGAGACATTGTGTTCAAATACTCCAGTGTTACTGGAATGAAAAGTGGGGATTGCATAGCACCTCCTGAAATTCCATCTTTTACACAACCATTGGAATTTCAGGAGGAGTCACTAGTTTTCGTTCTGGCAGCCTTAAATACTTTTCATTACTGGCTGAGCACAATGCTGCTTGATGCATTCTGGAGAGAAGTAAAAAGAGAGGAAAAGAAGGAGCAATCCCCTCTTCTCCTCTTTCCTTTTCTTGTCTCCTGGTTGATATGAAAGACTTTAGGGGGCAGTGAAGTTTGGTGGGAATGTGTAGGAAGGGAGCAATGGACCTTCTATTTCTCAAGTATTTTGGGCTGGTGAAATATTTTTTTACGTTCCTTTATAATTTGAGGTGTGCTTTTATGAACTTCCAAAGATCCTTACAGTTTGCTTTGAAGAACTATGCTTACAGTGATGACTGATTTTCAATTATCTGAAATGTTTGGAATCAGAAGTGTTTTGGATTTGTAACGGATTTTGGAATTCTTGCACGCACGCACACACGCACACACACAAACACACATATATATAATGAAATATCGTGGAGATACGACCCAAGCTTAAACATGATGCTATTTATATTTTATATCCCTTATTCAAAATTCTTGGGACCAGAAATGTGTTAGATTCTGGATTTTTATTTTTTAAAAATGGCCTATATGTATTTGTATACACATACACAATGAGCTATTCTGGAGATGAAACCCAACTCTAAACATGAGATTCATTTATTTTTTCATACACAGGTTATAAACATAGCCTGAAGGTAATTTTATATAAACATTTAAAAATGTTTTTTATAATAAGATTTGGGTTTTTGACTAAAAGAAACTGACCTCCATATTTATTTTACTCCTAATGGATTTAAATTGCATATTAGCTACTTACTTACTTACTTAGGTGATCCCTCATTGGCCAAGTAGGATAGTCTTCCAGGATCAGTATTCTTGTGGGTCCGTAGGTGACTGTGGAGCCCTATTCTTGATCTGCATCTTCTCCCGCATTGAGGGCATTGGTTTCCAGGTGAAAGCAGGTCCCGGTCGGGTTGGCTTGATGTGCCTTCCTCTTGGCACATTTCTCTCTTTTACGCTCCATTCGTGCCTCTTCAAATTCTGCAGCACTGCTGGTAACAGCTGACCTCCAGCTGGAGTGCTCAAGGGCCAGGGCTTCCCAGTTCTCAGTGTCTATGCCAGAGTTTTTAAGATTGGCTTTGGGCCCATCTTTAAATCTCTTTTCCTGTCCACCAACATTCTGCTTTCTGTTCTTGAGTTTGGAGTAGAGCAACTGCTTTGGGAGATGGTGGTTGGGCATCCGGACAATGTGGCCGGTCCAGCGGAGTTAATGGCGGAGGACCATCGCTTCAATGCTGGTGGTCTTTGCTTCTTTCAGCATGCTGACATTTGTCCACCTGACTTCCCAAGAGATTTGCAGGATTTTCCAGAGGCATCGCTGATGGAATCAATCCAGCAGTTGCATGTGACGTCTGTAGACAGTCCACGTCTCACAGGCATATAGCAGGGTTGGGAGGACAATAGCTTTATAAATAAGTACCTTGGTATCCCTACGGATGTCCCGGTCCTCAAACACTTTCTGCTTCATTTGGAAAAATGCTGCACTCACAGAGCTCAGGCGGTGTTGTATTTCGGTGTCGATGTTGACTTTGGTGGAGAGGTGGCTGCCAAGGTAGCGGAAATGGTCAACATTTTCTAATGTTACACCATTAAGCTGTATCTCTGGCATTGGAAAGGGATTGGCTGGTGACAGCTGGAACAGCACTTTGGTTTTCTCGATGTTCAATGACAGGCCAAGCTTCTCGTATGCTTCTGCGAAGGTGTTTAGAGTGGCTTGTAGATCTTCTTCTGAATGCGCACAGACAACATTGTCATCAGCATACTGGAGTTCTATAACAGATGTTGTTGTAACCTAGGTTTTGGCTTTCAGTTTGCTGAGGTTGAATAGCTTGCCATCTGTCCGATAGATGATTTCCACTCTGCTGGGAAGCTTCCCATCAGCAAGGTGAAATATCATAGCGATGAAGATGGAGAATAAAGTTGGGGCAATAACACATCCCTGTTTGACACGTGATTCCACCTTAAATGGGTCACTTTGGGAGCCATTGCTGTCCAAGACTGTTGCCATCATGTCATCATGTAGGATCTGCAGTATGTTCACAAATTTGTTAGGGTACCCGATTTTTTGGAGGATGGTCCAGAGAGCGCTGTGATTCACTGTGTCGAATGCCATTGCAAGGTCAATGAATGCCATGTACAGAGGTTGATTTTGTTCCCTGCATTTTTCTTGGAGCTGTCGTGCAGTGAAGATCATGTCCACTGTTCCTCTGGAGGGGCAGAAGCTGTTTTGGGATTCTGGGAGGGTGTCTTCTGAGAGGGTTAGAAGGCGGTTTGCAAGGATTCTTGCGAAGATTTTCCCAGCTGAGGTTAGAAGGGAGATACCTCGATAGTTTCTTTCCCCTTTTTTGAAGAGGGTGATGATGGTGGCATCCTTGAAATCTGCTGGGATTTTCTCGGTCACCCACACCATTTCTATGAGCTGGTGGAGTTGTTGTGTGAGCTCAGGTCCTCCCTCTTTAAAGATTTCAGCAGGAATCCCGTCAGGTCCGCTGGCTTTATCATTTTTTTGTTGGTTGATGGCATTGCTTACTTCTTCCAAACTAGGCAGTGCTGCAAGCTCATCCCTGGCTTGTTGTTATGGGATTTGTGAGAGGACCTCTTTGGCCACATTGGAGCTGTGGTTCAGGAGGCTTTGGTAGTGTTCTTTCCAACGTAGTGCAATTGATTTTTGATCCTTCAGGAGTTTGGTTCCATCTGATGAGTGCAGAGGCTGTATGCCATGGTTTCTTGGTCCATAGATGACTTTTGTGGCTTTGAAAAATCCCTGAGCATCATGGGTATCTGCCAGGTGTTGGATTTATTCAGCCTTCTTTGTCCACCAGATGTTCTTGAGTTCTCTTGTCCTTCTTTGGACCTCAGCTTTTGCGCTGGTGTAGATCTTTTTCTTAGCAGCACAGTTGATGTCTCTCTGCCATGTTTGGAAGGCTTTCCTTTTCTTGTCAATTAGCTGTTGGATCTCATTGTCATTTTCGTCAAACCAATCTTGATGTTTCTTGGTTTGATATCCAATAGTTTCTTCACAGGCTGTGATGATGGAGGTCTTCAGTTTGTTCCAATGTTCCTCAACATTTTCAGGGTGTTCTGTGGGTAGATGGTCTTGAGTGCTGTTTGGAGAAGGGCTCATTTGGAGGACTCCTGAAGGGCTTGGGTGTTCATTTTGCGCCTTGCCTTTCTTCCTTGGAGTCTGCGCTTGGGGGCGATCTTAATAGCCATCGTGGATCGGATTAGCCTGTGGTCTGTCCAGCAGTCATTAGCACCTGTCATGGCTTTTGTGAGGAGCACATCATGGCGATCTCTGGCATGTGTGATTATGTAGTCTAAGAGGTGCCAGTGCTTTAACAGGGGGTGCTTCCATGTTGTCTTGAACTTGTTTTTCTGGTGGAAAAGCGTGTTGGTGATGACAAGGTTGTGTTCCGCACATTTGGTGAGAAGCAGGATGCCATTCGAGTTGCTGTTTCCAACCCCATCTTTTCCTATGGTCCCTGGCCACAGGTCGAAATCTCGCCCGACTCTTGCATTAAAGTCCCCCAGGAGGATGGTTTTGTCCTCCTTAGGTATGTCCGATAGGACGGTGTCCAGCTGACAGTAAAAAATTTTCCTTGATGTCTTCATCAGCATCTAGTGTTGCTGCATAGGCAGTTATGATGGTTCCCTGTTGGTTTTTGGCATGATCAATTCAGAGGGTTAAGAGTTGTTTGTTGATGCCAGTGGGTGCTTTGGTCAGATGTTTCACCAGATCATTTCTGATAGCAAAGCCAACTCCGTGCATTCTTTGGTCTTCTTCGGGCAGTCCCTTCCAGAAGAAGGTGTAGCCTCCTTTTCCTTCCTTCTGCTGTCTCTCTCCTGCTCTCCGGGCCTCCTGAAGGGCTGCTATGTTGATGTTAAAGCTTCCCAGCTCCCTTGCAATGATAGCAGTTCTGCGTTCGGGGCGTTCACTGTCAGTGTTGTCCATCAGTGTTCGTACGTTCCATGTTCCAAAGTTCATTTTTCTTTTTTGGCCGCAGAGTGGTGACCCCACTGGATGCAGCAGTCCAGTCAGGGATAAGAGAGGTAGACTATGTTTTGGGCCACTGTCCTCTGCTGAAATGTACATTCAAAACAAT